GGAAACAAACTGGCTCAATGATTGTGGCAAGCGACCTTTCGTGCCTCTGGCCATCCAGTCTTGGGGTGTACGATCACCGTCATCAATCACCATACGAGACATGTTGCTGGAACATGTTGGAACAAATTTGCGGCACACCCAAAGCACAAAAACAGTGATAGGTCGAAAATCTGATGTGCAGGAATTCTTCCACTCCAGGTTGTGTAGATGGAATCCCTAATTGAATCGCCCCAAAGCCCAAACGTTCCTTGGTCGATCCTCTCCATCTTGGTTCCGCTGGTCACATGATCTGACTTCGTCCCAGTGGCACTGTGAAGGCCAAGGCCCCCGTGGCTGGGCTGCTGAAGCTCGCAGTGTTCCCTCAGCCGACGTCGGCTGGTGCAAAAAACGTGAGGTTCAGCCTCCAGCCTAGAAGCAATGGCCTCCAACCTAATAGCGATGGCCTCCAACCATGGGATGCCAGGGACACTTTCTTGTTTCAAGTCCAACCAATGGGTGCCCAATGGAGGTCCCTATAAGTAGTGTAGGGTAGTCTATTGGCCACCCCTTGGATGGTCCTGCTAGGTATATACATGTAATATACTATGCACGAGTAAATACGCATCCGTGAAACCCAAAGCCTCACTGGTCACTGGAACAAGTCTTGAACTACAGCTGTTTGTATACAGGAGCCTGTGCCAAAACCAATCCCAACCATAGCACGGATGGTCATGAGGACTATGAAAACGTCTCGGCTGTCAAACTGCCCCAACTGCCTCGCTTATGCCACACTTTACACCACCAACTTTAGTTAGAACTGCCGAACCGCCCTTGCTTTGGCAAATGCAACCGCTTGAAGGCCTTACAACTCGCTTGTGCCCGTGTTTAACCCATACTTTCCCAGGTCCTCAGGCTTATACAATAATCACCTCTCCCCCCAAAAGCTTTGTCCGAAACCGGCCCTCCTCCCACTGCCCAGGCGCCGGTCAAGGTGGTGGACAAGGTGGCGCCCGCGTCGCACGGGTCTGATGCGGTGCCCACCTTCCTCACCTGAGGCGCCACTCCGGGCTCCGGAGCCCGGTTCCGGTCGAGGTCTCGGATCGGTCCGGCACTTGGATGAGAATGGTGAACTCATTTTTTTTTATGCAAGCTAAGTTGTGTATATATAACTATATATGTTATAATATATATATATATATGATATGCCAATTATGTTTCTGTATGTTCATGTATGTAATTAAATTAGTATGTCTTTATATATCTTTACATATTGTTAAGTTTTGGGAACCGTTCTTTACATATGACATATGATATGTGAAGGCAGGTGCTTGGAAGATTACGTGTGTCCCACTTCAATGCTTGCATCTTTAAGAGCACTCCACCTGTAGAAGCAATGCAAAGGGCCGCAGGGTCTGAACAATCCGCAGGGGGCTGGGCCATCCATGCTTCAACTTCACAGGTAGGCTCGGGCTAAGCAACATGTTCTGCAAATGACTTCCCAATCTGGAGTTGCCCAAGCGCCTGTGCGCTAACATGCACATGCATGGTGCTTGCCCATCACACAGGAGTCCCCTTCCCTAGCATCCCACAACACTCTCTATCTCAAACCTGCTTTCAAAGGGTACCCCGAAACAGAATCCGAGTATATGTATATATATATACCTTGAGTCTCCAATGACCCTTTTAAATTTGCCTTTCCAAGAAAAAGAGGTTTTTGAAAGAAAGCACTCTTTTTTGCATGTGTCAGGAAATGTTCCCTTTTTGTTTGTGCCCTGTCAGATCCTCCTTAGACAGTGTCCTGAGACCTTTTTTCGGCGTCCAAAACGCGTCTTTTTGCGTCCAAAAGGCGTCTTTAAGCGTCCGTGCCGGACGCGTCCGGATGAAGATTCACTCTGCACCTGTTTTTGAGTCCTCATCTCTAAAAACGCGTTTTTCGAGCAACAACGCAAAAATATTAGACCAAAAACAAAAACGCAGAAAAAAAAGGTCTTTGGAGACTCAAGGTATGTATATAGAGACCACCACCTCTTCGATTCAACCTACTCCACCCTCCTGTCACATGCGAATCGCTGAGAAGGTGAGGACGTTGCTGGAGACCGTGGCGGTGCCATAGGGTTCGCACGTTGGAGTGGCCAGAACGCGGCCAGACCAATCTGCTTCATCAGGATCCTGCCAGAGGGTCTGTCGCCGGGCCAGGTCATATGTGATGGTTTGTTCTATCAACTGGCGAGGGCAAACAATGCTACAAGTCATCCTCATATCATCATGCCATACGGGGTCTAATTCCAGGTATTACATACGAGGACCCGTTGCCCTATTGCGAGGTCGAGGTCAACAACTGTCATTGTCACACTCCACGGCACTGACAAGAACACGTCGTGCATAGCAACCTCTGCTCTCCTCAAGCGCAGCCTGTGCGCCAAATGACGAAACCTAGTGCGCCAAGATCTAAGATCCCAGCCTCTTGCAGCCGTCGCGCTGGAAACGACATGGTGCCGTCTGAAAGCATGCCAGATGGAAGGGTGACGGTCGCCTGAAAGGAAAGAATGAAATGGCCAGTGAGGCCGGAGCTGTGTCTGATCCAAAGAAACATGCACGGGAGAAGTTCTCGTAGCGGCACTGGTTCCTACAAGGTGCTCCCATGCCTTCAATGTAGGTGACACAAATGCCCGCTACACATATTGCACATTATTTGCCTGGAGCTGGAGCTGCAAAGCGCAAACATGATTCTTCCAGCACACTCCCAAATCACAACGACCCACCAGTAAATGAGACACCCTACTCCACAAGCAAACTCAACTGCAGCCATTGGCCATTCATTGATTGGTTGCAGGGCGCAGGATGCTGCGGAAAGTTCCTCTCCTAGCCACCCATCTGCAACAAATCTCCTCTATATACGCCACATACGCCACCCTCTCCAACTTTCTTGGTGGCTGGGTAGCTGCAAGATGACAAACAAACAATTACGTCCCCCGCAACCAGCGCTTGCGAGAACGGAAATCAAACCTTATCCACTCAATCTTGCAGCCCTATCTTCTGAAGTTTCCCGCCACCAGGGTGCGGTGGCTGCATTGGCGGCGGTGGTCGTAAAGCCAATGACCAGTGAGGCTGGCACCTGAGTGGAGCACGTTCCTGACCGAGTATTGACATCATGACCCAATGTTGACATCATGACCCAATGGTGTAGTCGATGCACGCCCTGATGGAAGGAAAATGATGGGAACATCATGCAAACGATGAGCTAAGTTCCTACAACAGGTCGATTTTGGCGGTTCAAACCATCATAAACCATCCATCCACTGAATTTACGCAACACTCCTGCCCCATCCCTCCACTCCACTCCGACTCGTCCCTCATCTGCGCTTTGTCTGGCTGTCCCGGCCTCACCCTCCGCCGCAGCTGTGCCGTTGCTGTCCAGCAAGCTCAAGGAAAGACCGGTGAGTTGCCCTGGCCGTCTGAGCGAGTTTTTGCTTTTTGTTCAACACCGGAAAACGAGCGGAGAACGTTCGACACCTGGGAACTTTGAGACATCCAGCATCTTAAATGGAGGATTGGATAGTATATAATGGCATGTATTGTTGCAAATATTTAGGAGACATGGTTTACGAATGAACAAAATGCTTAGACTACCTTGTGTGGATTTGCTGAGACTTATCTGACACACACACACTCCTATAACATAACGAATATGTATGTGTATATATATATATGTGTGTGTGTGTATAAGGCCTATAAGGGCTCGCTGGTTGATTTCTCCGCGTACTTTGATTGCTGGCTGGCATGCCGATGCCGGATTCCTCTGGCCTTGTGCCGCCAGGACGGAGGAGAACAGCGCCAACCTGGGCAAATGAACCGCGTTAGAAATCCTCATACAAGTTGGATGGTCATAAAGGAGGTCGCCAAGGAGCTCGCAGGGTATTCTTTGAGATCGTCTGCACTGTGAATTTTGGTGAGAAACTCAGTTCTGTCCCCAATCGGCCACATGGGAAATCCATGGAGCTTCCATTGTCCAACTGAACATCCCTCATCTTGCATGTGCAAATTGGAAAATCCGTCCACTTGTGTAGGCCTTTGAGACAAACGATGAGTATGCTGGAGATCGGTGAAACCGTGAAAAGAGTATGCTTTGCCTGGATCTCTGAAGAGCAGAGATCCAAGCCTGTGCTTGTGCTTGTATCTTCTTCCTCGTGCGACCCCAAACCCCCCCACCCGGTGCTGCCGACCACAACGTGCTCGCAAAGCATGCGCCGAGCTGCACTGCCAACATCTCCGCCGATGGCCAATCAAAACAATCGACAGGTGAAACTTTGTCTACACGAGATTGCCAAAGTCCTACACTATTTACATCTATTTACTATTCCACACTGAAACCAAATGGCCGCGTGACAAATCCGTGAATTGCAGAAGTTGACCAAGCCCAAATGCACCGCTAGATCCCCAAGTACACCGGTAGATCCCCACAACAGCACACATGCTGACAATCATGCGCTGCTAAACACTGCAGTAGGGAGTTGCTCACCCCAAGGGCGGCCCACAGGGTTTCCACCACTAAGTGCCCTCTAGCATATGTCATCCAGGAATAACTGTTGCTGTTTGAGCAACCTCCTGTTCTACCAAAAATACAGATGTTTGCTGGGCATTGTTCATCTGGCATTGGGCTTTGTACAGCAAGACTCAGACCAAACATGAGAAAACTGTATTCATAATAGGACATGTACAGGGACACACAGTACATTCTCTGCAGAAGTTGATCCAAAGAAACAGGCACATGCTGTTGGTGGCCGGAAAAACGCCAGCTGAGAAAAACAGTAGAAACAGTGTCCCTGACAGGTTTTGTGCTGCAGGATTGTCTATCAAAAGACCAACAGTTTCATTTGACAATCCCGAAACTGGGATCCTATGGGTATAATTCCCTTATGAGCATGACATAAGCCCCCATGGCTAATCCATGTCAATGTAAATGCACCAAAAAGGACAAATTTTAGAATCTATAGGTGGTTGAGGACGGCCTATCCCCTCTCCTTGGAGCGTTTGCTGATCTTGACTGCCACTTGAGGATGATCACCTTTACCACATAGCTTCGCACTGTGCACGGTGCCTTGGCAACATCACACGACAGCGCTTTGCAGCGCTGATGCGGAGGTGGGGTCAAAAACGTACCCCGTTTAAATCATGAACAAGACCATGTCTACAGGTGAATGCTCACCTGCCCTCGGTTGACGGTTTTGACCCAAGGCTGTGCAAGGGAAGGTCACAATGACAATGGGAGGGAGGAGGCACATGACTAAGGTGGTCGCCCCTCACCTGAGCTAAGCTCAGTACTGGTCTAGAGGCTTTTGGGGCCGATCCCCGAAACCTCAGGCTATCGGCTCGGCCTATTCAGCCCAAAATCCACCTGGAGACACCCAATAGGCTCGGCCCAAAACCGCTGGCGATCCAAGCCACCAAAGGAGCCACGCCCGATGGCCTCCTAAGTGTGTCGCTTGCGAGGGGTTGGTTGAGCAAACATAGTGTTACAGCAAACAACTCCGAATGGAGAATATGAATAGCTTCCAGTGACTGGCAAACTGGCTCTAGCATGGGCATTAGCATAATCCGGAAACTTGCCAAGGACGCAACTTAAAAACATGTATGTATTCTGAGGTCCTGTTGCATTTGATTAGAAAATATTAGAAATACACGAGATGGGGAGTTGAGGCGCCCTTGCCATTGTTGTGTTCAGATTCTTGCCGGAGAAGGGCAATAGTTAAAGTTAGTCTTTGGTAGAAGGTGGCAAAGGTGCGCAGTAGGACAACGAGTAAGAAGCTTTCAACCCTGCTACAGGATAACGTGCTGGAGTCTCCTTTGCCTCACCTCCATGGAGAAACCGGAAGCTCATGGAAGGTCCAAACACTCGGTCCAAGTGCTTGGAAGTGGGCGAGTCCATGCGTGGTCCATACGCAGTGGGGTTTGTCCATTTCGTCAAGTTCATGTGTGGTGCGAGGTGTTGCGAAGATCACATGTGTGATTTTCCGCCCTTCATGGGGTTCCAAGTCCTGCCGACAAACTATTCTCAACTTGAGTAAAATGTCCATGAGGAGCATGTCATGTCCGACTAGAAATTCAAAAAAACAAAATCCTCAACCAAGTCGACATGTTCAATCTATGAAATTCGACTGCTGGGTTGTCTGCACCGGGGGTTCTTCATCCTACCGGCCTTAGGAAAAACAAGCTCAGCAGGTGAACCAGAAAGAAGGAGCGACACGGGGGCCCAATGAATACTGGGTCAATGCAAAGACCTGTGGACTGACATATGGATCTATTATGTCGAAGGGCAACACAGGACAGGTTAGTAATCGGTTTGTAACTAACTTCTCGAGTTGCAACATATCTATCAGTTGCAGCCCACCCTCCAGATGTAAAAACATGTAAAAACGTGTTCCGTTTTCCTCAGCCTCAGAGTGCTTGCTTGCTGTTAGCTCACTTGAGACATGAGTTGCCGAAGTGTTCTGGGAGACCCTGTGACGGTTCTTGGTCCGCCCAAGCGTCGCCAATGTCCAGAACCTGCTTGACTTCTTCATCTTTGGTGACCTGCCAAGGACTTGGGAGCGGGTGCCTCTTTTCACAACTTCTACGAATATGGAATGCTGGTGAACGCTCAGCACAAAGTTGCCCTAACTCCACATTGAAGTCAGACTATATATAGCTACTACTGCAGTAGATTACTAGTTCCCCCACCTCCCTCCCTCCCTCCCTCCCTCGCTCTCTCTCTCTCTCTCTTCCTTTCTGTTGGCAAAGCCTTGCCCTCTTTATCTTTTCTCAAAATTAATTATGCTTCTATGCCCATGCCACATGCTTGATCCGGCTGCTCTCGTAGCGACGCTCCAGAGATTTGACCCACTTGGCCCCAAAGAATCGTGCGGAGCTCAACCCCCATGCTCACAACGTTGCAAATGATGCCTGAACGAAGGGCATGGAACATCTGCTTCTGATCCCGAACTTCCAGGCGCAACTGCCATGTGCTCCAATCGCAATGGTCTGTGCATTCGCCCTGAATGGCTCAGGGTCAAAACCCTGAGAATAGAAAACTCTTGTATTTGAGGGCTCCTCGGTTGCAAACACACTCTCACACGTTATAAAACCGGATGCTTCAAGGTGCTACAGACTATACATCGGGTGTGAACAGTGGATGCTAAAGTCAGTAAATGACTTGAGGCTCTTTGCTTTGGAAGCACCCCATGACTGTGGGACACCCTGGATGAAATCCCATGCCCGTCACCGGGAACGTCCGACTTCACTAGCCAAGCACTGCCTGTAACAGTCCTTCACTGGGCCCCGCCATGGCCTTGCGACGACGCCAAACGGGTCACATGTGGAGCATTTGAGGTACAATGATGCACACACGGTCGCATCCCTTTAATTGGTTTCCTTTGCGAGTTCTGGGTCGCAAGGTTGCTGTAAGGGTCGGACTCACACCATTAAATTCGAATCACTTTGCTTCACTGACTCAGTGTTGCTTTAATGCGGAGCTTTATGTACCATATACCTTCCTTTTGGGCATGGGCCTTGGCTGCAGGAAAGCACAGTAAACCCGTAATGTTGTGTTTTTTTTAATAGACCTAATTAACATCTTACAACACATAGGAACATGAAGAACAACATCCCCCTAAGCCTTACTCATGATGGCACCCACCCGAAAGATCACCTTTCACCATTGACAGTCACTTGCAGGCTGTCCCCACAAAAGGGAGCAGTCTACGCCGGTTGCGTCCGCGCTGTCGTTGCTCATTCAGCCGGACAGCGGGTACGACCAGGTCGATGCTGGAATCTAAGTCGGGTCGGGTGCCCACAGGAAACACCGCTATGCACGGCCTTTTGCCATCATCAAAAGTTACATCCAAGAGAGATTCATAGAAGAACATCTACGTTACATACATACATACATACATACATACATACATACATACATACATA